CTCCTGTTGAACACAGAGGTGGATTCGCTGAAGCAAAGCTCATATATTATATATATACTGATCGGGCTCTGACTCGATACCTTCAGCGAAGGTCGCGAAGGCTAAGTGGCTCAAGTCTACCTCACACAGGAAATCTAGAATGGATGCTTGAGAGCTTGCGAAGTCTCCGGCGTCCACCGAGGAATTCTCCTCCAAGGTCTCCATATATTAGCCACTCGTCATATATAGCTACTCGTCAGTCCGTTCAAGACATCGCATAAGTTGTCTATCAACTGTATGCCATATGCCGTCTATAAGCCTACGCGAAGACAATTGCACAGGCTATTTACAGCACAAAACGTCGCTATATTAATTAATCAACGACGTTGCATAGATCTTCACAGAAATCAACCTTTCCGTATAGATTGCTAGAATATGCAATCCCGGACTACGATACGATTATCTACATGCGTGACCATTACGCAGATCTGCAGACAATTCAATATCGAAATTGAACAGCAGCCTTGTTACAGCGAGTTAACTCATAATCGTCAAGTTCAGCTTTAATTCTACAATTATGACGATACATTCATGTATACAGTCTACAAGCTGACAACTTGCAAGTTTATTGTACCTTTATATAAGGAAGTCGGAATTATATTCAAAACTGAAGTTACATTCACGACAGCCAGGAAAATAACCTACCCAGCATTAATATTACAGAGCGAGGTATTTCGCGCCGGAGGTTTCACGCGTTTACCTTAACCCTCGAAACACGTGGTCACTCGGGTAACTTCAGGAAGCTACGGTGAAGACCGACGATTATGCTAATATCAACGACGGCAAGATTTTATACAAGGTTTATTCCTGCTACACGGTGACATCACAGCGCGGGTATTCTACAGAATCAAAATGCCTTGTTCTGATTGGACCGCGTTGGACAACGACCTACATGAGGTCGATCTTAGTTCACAGTTCAAGACTTACGTTACAAGTGACAACTATATATCAGTGAGCGAGCAAGCCTCCTTACAGTCCAGTTAATCTGAACCTTCATGATTGGGCTGCTTTCTTCAGGTTAGAGACCTCCCCTGTCAAGTTAGGGCGAGGGCGCGGCAATCAGGCAATTTTACATAAAGTTCAGCGAGGACAGACACACCTGGTTGTGCACCTACATCGTCAAGGACTTAGCGGCGAATAACCTGAGCGGCCGGGATACAAGTGGATCTAAATCCACAGCGTCTCAGACTACAGCTGAATTTCATAATCAAGCTACTAACACAACTAGATGGTTAGTAAACCTACTTAAACTTTCTGATTGGAGAATTAAAAGCGGAAGTTTCACCCTCCAACTTGGGGATCTGAATATAGTGCTCCAACACCTCACAAGTGAGGTTTATGAACACGCCTGGATGACATACTTGGACTCCATGTTACGATGATTCTATCACGATGGCCAGCAAGAGCACTGTAAATTTATCTCCACCGAAACAAACAGAAGGAAATAATACAACAGATTATTTCCTCTATCATCAACTTCACGCAGAATGAAATCTCACGTTACTATATCTCCGTTTGGATCAGAACTGTCATACTACGTGCATACAAGGCGGATGGACCCAATCCGACCCTCCATGAGCTTTTAATACTCATGATATTAGAAGCTAACTTCTACAATTGATCTACACAATATTATTTGAAATAATGGAGGGTTTATTTTCTGGAGATCCGATATGGTGGTTGCCAACCATTATCTGGGAGATATCATCACCGAGGGCGTCTCAGGTATCCACCAATTCGATCCCATGGTCCTCGCACAACAGTTGACAGTTCCTCGGAGAAGATAAGTCAATCTTACAGATTTCTACTTATCTTATAACAGTACTAAATAGCTACATGCTATATATAATTTGCTTAAGTTCTTTTATCATCACAGTACTATGATTATTACATCATACAATATATAAGTTAACAACTCTACAGAGTTGGTTATTATATATTTACCTTAACTTAATTATATCTTAAGCATAGTACTATACTCAGATTGTAAAATATATAAGCTAACAAACTCTACAGAGTTTGGGCTATTATATAGGTAGCTTAAGCTTATTCATATCTTAAGCTCAGTACTATGTTTATATCATATCAGTATATTAGCTAACAAACTCTAAAGAGTTTTTGCTATTTGGCTTAAGGCTCATCATATCTTAAGCAATATGGTTACATTATAACATGTATTAGCTAACAAACTCTCACGGGTTTTTACTATTATATATGTAACTTAAGCTTATTCATATCTTAAAGCGCAATACTATGTTTATATCATATAGGTATATTAGCTATCAAAACTCTAAAAGAGTTTTTGCTATTATATATTTGGCTTAAGTTTCATCATAATTTAAACTTTATGGTTACATTATAACTTGTATTAGCTAACAAACTCTGACGGGTTTTGCTATTATATATGTAGCTTAAGTTTCCTTCAAATCTTAAGCTCAATACTATGTTTATATCATATAAGTATATTAGCTAACAAACTCTCACGAGTTTTGCTATTATATATGTAGCTTAAGGTTTCCTTCAAAGCTCAATACTATGTTTATATCATATAAGTATATTAGCTAACAAACTCTACGGTGTTTGCTATTATATATGTAGCTTAAGGTTTCCTTCATAAACTCAATACTAGGTTTATATCATATAAGTATTTTAGCTAACAAACTCTAAAGGGTTTTGCTATTATACAATTAGCTTAAGTTTCATCATATCTTAAGCAGTATGGTTACATTATAAAATGTATTAGCTAACAAAACTCTCACGGAGTTTTGCTATTATATATATAGCTTAAGTTTAATTATATCTTAAGCTCAGTACTATGGTTATAACATAAAAGTATATTAGTTAATAAACTCTAAGGAGTTTTTTTTTTGCTATATACATTTAGCTTAAGTCTAATCTTATCTTAAGCTTAGTACTATGGTTACATTATAAATCTATAAGCTAATAAACTCTACAGAGTTTTGGCTATTATATATGTAGCTTAAGTTAATTATATCTTAAGCACAGTACTATACTCATATTGTAAAAATATATTAGCTAACAAACTCTACAGAGTTTTGCTATTATATAGGTAGCTAAAAGCTTATTCATATCTTAAGCTCAGCACTATGTCTATATCATATAAGTACATTAACTAACAAACTCTAAAAGAGTTTTGCTATTATATAATTAGCTTAAGTTTAATCATATCTTAAGCTTAGTACTATGTTTATATTTTAAAGTAATTTAGCTAACAAACTCTAAGGAGTTTATACTAGCATATTAACAAGCTTAAGTCTATTAGTCTTAAGCATTGTATTAATCTTATATATACTTTATCATAATAAGTACATTGTAATAACCTTTATATGGCAGCTGATAAGTTAGCAGCAGGAATTCATCAATTCAGTGCCTTTATGAAGTTCCCATAGGGTTATTACAATCATCACAGTTCAAATCACTAATTATTAAAATCCAAAGTATTATATATTCCCACCTCCGGCTCTGTTGGATTCTACAAGCAAAAGAGCATGAGTCAGGATAAGGAAAAATATGTAATTTTTAGAGTAAAATTGATATTTTATACTTATCCTGACTCATGAATAAGCCCTCCCATCCTCCCCACATAACACTTTGGATTTCCCTGTAAATTCAAATGTTGGGCTCAGTATATGAGGAGAGAGTGAGGCACATGGGTGGAGGTGGCGCCCTCGTTCACGCGCTTGTGGAAGGGAGGTAACTCGTGCTGAGTACTAATTAGTGATTTTACATTGAAGGGAGCTTCAATTAGGGAGATACAAGTGTTCCACTATGTTCCCCTGGCCAGCTTGTGGAAGGGAGGTAACTCGTGCTGAGTACTAATTAGTGATTTTACATTGAAGGGAGCTTCAATTAGAGAGATACAAGTGTTCCACTATGTTCGCAAGAAGAAGAAGACAAGCAAAAAGAGCATGAGTCAGGATAAGTATAAAATATAAATTTTACTCTAAAAATTACATTTTTATCTTTATTTTATGTCACACAATTTGCGAGCTGATTGTCTGTCGGGATCCTTTTGTTTGATAATGAGTGACAACCAAGACATGTGCTCCATTGCTCCCATCACAAGGTAAGCTGACCTCTCATGGATCAGGCAGCCTGCAAGTCATCTGTTCTAAAGCGGCTCATTTTGGTCACTATGTTACACGCAATGTCTACAATCAGGCAATGTGTACAATGACTGAAATAACCAGTCAATGTGTACATTGCCTGATTAATTAACCCAATTATTGTTCAGATTGACTGATTGTTGAACAGGGATTATTGAGAAGACAACATTAGCATGGATTTCGTTCTGTTTGAATGAATAAGTGGCGAATATCTTACAAATTAATTAATTGAAGCACAAATGACTTTATTTCAAACAGTATTAAAACACATGATGTTCTATTGGGACATTTCTTGACAAAAGCCGAGATGTGGAAGCAAATGAACCATCCTTTCAACAACTCTTCAAGATATGACATACAAACAGAGTTTGATGTTAAATCGACTCCAGACCTTCAGACTCTCTGATTGAAATACCAAGGGTTTGATGAAACTACAGTGGCATTACCCATGTAAATCTGACACCAGATCATCATCTAATATGAGATGGGGAGTCCATATGAACAAGCTCACTCCTCAGTCGTCATAGCCACAGGAAATACTACTGTGGTAGCTTGCATTCTAAAGGAAGGAGGAACCAAATCCAGCTCCCTGATGATGGGGACTTTATGAATATTTGCCTTTCCAGGCTCAATCATTTGACAGACGAATGCAAGATATATTCTTGGGAATCCATGGATTGCACTGGCCAAATTGCCTTCTTATTCAGTCTCACAAGGAAAATAGGAATGACAGATTGCATCATCATCATCATCATCACCACCACCATCACCATCACCATCCTCCCCCTCTCTCTTTCTCTCTCTCTCTCAAAAACATCATTACTTTTCTTTTACAGCTTAGAAGCAAAATTCGTGCACATCAGCTGGAGCGTCAGAAAGAAGAAACTGATCATGGTGTAATGCTTAAGGAACTGCAATTATTATTGGCTCAGGAGAGGACTGCAAAAGAACAGCTGGAAGCACAGGTATCCTTCTTAAACCAAAATGTATTGATTTATCATTACCATGCCATCTCAGTACACACGTTTGTGTTACACGCAATCGGTGCAACTGCCCGTTGTGTTCATTGAAACATACAGCTTGCCCACTGCATGCGTCCGACAGTGACATGTATGAGTTTTAAAATCTTACTCACAGAAGCCAAAATGCCCAAATGCCAAAATGCCAAAGTTATTTTACAAAGATCTATTCACCAAGTTATTTTGCAAAGATACCGTGGGTGCTGTAAAACATGAATAAAATACGGCATGAAAATTATATGTCTGACCAAATGTGGACTTAAATGATTTGTTTGAGTGGCATTGTAGAAGTTGGTGGTATAGAGATGACAAGACTTTATTGATGATCAACTTCTTTATTTTAATAATGGCGATGTTTCGGTACAGATTCTTATACCGTTTTCTAGCATATGGTTGTGTGTTATGTGTTATTTGTCTCAAAGATAACTTAGTGTTCAAATCAGTAACTCCTTATTTCATAAGGATGTAGGTTGTCATGTGATTTTGCTCAAGATATATGTCTTCTATTTTATATGGATCTGTGTTACATGATGTACTTCTATTTTTTGCTTTCCACAAATACAATATATACACCCGTGCATTAATTTAGCACTAACCTATTTTTAAAATAAGATGTGATGCTACAGAAAAGTTAGGGCATAGCCATCAATTGAATCAACCTGTAGTTAAAGAAGCTTTATCCACTGACAGTTTTACAAATACCATAACCATATTCTTTATGAAAGAATATATTGATGAAAAGGTGATGGGACTGAATTTGTACCCAAAATAACTATTCCTCTCCTGCTCAAACTACACAGTTAAATTTTGTTTTGACTACAAATAACAATTCTGTTATATACCAAGATGACATTTACACATCAAGTAAGCTTTAATTATGCATAATCAGGAAGAACACGAATGTCAAAAGATTCAGACCTTTTTTCAACAATTCAAATTGCTAATTGACAAAAACTGAAAAAGGCCACATTAATAAGATTTTGGAATAAATCTTTCATGATTTTGAGTTTATTGTATTGAATAAACACTATTCCTTGCCGGATATTGATAATTACAGCTAAAATCTGTTTTGTTTGTAAAGCAACTTTGACTGCATTTTAAAATTTTACTTTTTTTTAGTTTGACTGTAACTTTTCCTAAATCTTAGTTTCCAATCCTTCATCCATTCACAATAAATAATGAATTTATAGGCCAAGTTAAACAATCAATTATTACTTTCACTTTTCAAAATAAGATAGCTTGTTTTCGGACAGGAAAACACCTGTTTTATGTGCAGGCAATTATCCTAATTAAAGTACATAGTAATTTCAATGATGTTTTCGTTTTTGAAATGTTAAATGCTTCCTCTACCAAATTATAAAGGTTACTTTTTGGAAAGAGTTTAGAATTTCACTTCAGACAAAATTAATTGGTAAAAATACAGGGTGGTGCTTATTTTATGCATGGATGTATAGTTGACAATTCAGCATTAGAATTGTTTTTTTAAGGGAGTATACTTTGTGGTGTAGAAAACATTAATTTTCCACAAAGAAAATCTAGTTTTATGGTATTTGGTAAGACTATCAAAATGGTTGGATACCAAGTTATAGTTTCTCCGTCTTTCAGGAAAGTTCTGGCTGGTTCTACGCGAACTCAAAAACCGATGTTGTGACTGATCGCTGAAAAGCTCATTTCTATTTGTGTTTCCGCTTAGTGAGAGTTCTCTTTTAACGCAAGCGCCTGTTTTGGGTTTGCACAAACAACTGTTCTGTTTTCGAGCATGACTCTGCTGGATCTTTGTCCAACCTACAACCTTTGCTGTATTTCCTGCTAAGACCGATATTTTTTTCAGTACACCTCTTTCGCAGAAATAATCCACACTTTGAAGCGAATCCATCGCTATATTCTGGTATCTTAATTTCTCTTGTTTATTAATTGTTATACTTTTAATAATATCTTATCTCTAATACTTTTTCACTTATAATTTTACAGACGTCGAATGATGGTCCACCATCATTCAGCGATATTTTTTACTCAGACAGGGGAAGTAGTTAGCAAAAATATCGCTATTAGGGGACCTTTCACCGGACTATCATTCTCTATACTAGTCCTTTCAATCCAGGATTATCTGCGGAAGGTCTGGCACCATTTCATGCACAGACAATTAGTAAAGGGGATCACAAGGCTTATCTTAAACAGAAATTTGCACAAGTTGAATCAGCAGTTGTCACCAAAGTTTCAAAAACGTTTGATGTAAACCCTTCCAAATTGTTTCCTTCTTCAACAGAGTGCCAAAAATGTAAAGATTTCAGTGAACTAATAGAACAAACGAAAACAAAGTTTAAATCCTTTTCACAGGCCGTGCAAATGCAACTTCTTACAATGCTACCCTCAAGCTGGACAGTAGAACAAACTGCCCATGAATTTGGTCCTACAATATATATAGTGAAGTCAAGCTCTCAAAAACCAATGTGGATTTATGGTAAATCTGAGATCACATTTGGGTAACCCTCTTCCCCATGAAGTGGTATTAAAGAGTTCAACACAATTTTGAAAGTGCCAATCACAGAATAATGAAAGTATGACAGAAATTACAGTGTTTCCCTTTTATCAGCTTACAGTAGCATTGATCACAAGCAAAAAATCCAAAATCTAAGACATGAACTGGGGCAATCCCCAGATTTTGGTAGCACTGTATCAGCAATCTCCTCACACTCTACAGTGGATGTTACTGCTTGAAGCACTCACCTCCATGCAAGATCTAACAACCAGAGGTCGCCTGCATCTTGGATCAACTAGCATCAAGGGTAACAGGTAGAATCTATCATAACACCCACAGAGCTAGTGTTCAAGGACCTCGCATTGTTTCCCAACAATGTTATCCACAGGACTCCACTCAGGACGCCTAATCCTGATTGTCACCTATTCACGGATGCGTCACTCAAAAAATTGGGGTGCCAATCTCTGAGTGTTGAACTCAACATTTTGGGGACAAAGGCTGTTCTGCTTATCATTCAGCACTGGTCACTACACCTACAGAACTCCTTCATACTTCTTGTAATGTGCAATGCTATAGTGGTAACCAACATCAGCTGACTTGGGGTAACTCATGATCTCATGAGAAAACTTTATGACCTGACAGTCTTAAGTGTATGTTACTGCCAGACACATGCTTGGCAATGCAATCTTTTCCAGACAATATTCTGCTCTAAGATTGGATGCTTTCAGCCACATAGCATGATTGTATGAGAACCTGCTGATAGATCTCTTTGCGACGTTGCTCAACAACCAATGACCAGTTTTCCCCAGTCCAGTTCTGGATCCTCTAGCCTATGCAGGGGACCCCATGTCAACTTCCAACAATATTGTGTACACATTTCCACCTAAAATCCTACAAGTCCTTGCCAAGATAACTCTGTACTTAGTGGCACCTGTATGGCCAACACACACATGGTTTACAGATCTTCTCCTTTTGCTGGTAAACCAACCTCTTTGTCTGCCCCTCTGGTCAACACTAGGGCTTCCTTGGGTACTCGAGAACTCAAGTACGAGTCGGGTTTAGCTGGACTCGAGTCCATTTTCAAGGACTCGATAAGGGGAGATAACTCTAATTATTGGGTTACGTTGACAGACTGTCACTCTGTCATGTACTAAGCATGAGCGGCCGTTAACGTCTATATTAAGATAAGATATAACTTTATCATCCCGGAGGAAATTCTTATCCATCCAAACAGTCCCAAAATGAATATATACACAATTCACAAAATTGGTTGCTTGGTCTGCCATGTATGATTTGAAGTAGAACCGATTCCAGCAGTGGAGAGTCCGATGTGGAACCGCTGATGATCCTAAAACAGTGCCTATGGTAGCAGATCTTCTGCTTCATCTCAATATGAATTTAGATCTTTTACACGACACTCTTCAGGGATATAAATCTACATTGGCATCAGTCCTTACCAATCATGGGATTCCTATTGGAGAGGACCCAATACTTACCAGCATGCTAAATTCCTTTGAGATCAAATCCCCGAGAATAAATGGGATTTATTATTCTTCTTGTCAGGGTTATTACATCATCCTCTTAAACCTAGTTAGAAAGCATCTTTATTTCACCCGACTTAGTATTTTAGAATACCCTATATATCATCTCGATTGGATTTAGGTCACAATGATATGGTGGTAGGCGCAATATTTCATGACCTTTATTCTTAATGTAAGTGTCTACTTTGTATACGGGGTCTTGTTTGTGGGTTTTGATGATTTCATACGGCTGAGGCTTCGTCACTTTCAACAGATACGGGATGTTGAATTTTTGAAGCCACGCAATCATATCGCCCTGACAATTGTTAAGAGTTTTGCTGTTGGAATGGCGCATTGTCCATGACTATAAGGGACTATAAGAACTAACGTATTTTGAACCCACGTCTCCATTCATCTCTGTATGGTAGTTCCTATTGTCTTTGGCCTTGGCTCTGAACACCAGATCACAACCAGGTAGGAAGCCCTGGCTGACCCATCCAGCATGGAGAATAATCAATCTTTTCCCCTTCACCAGTCTAAGTAAACTTAGGCTCAGTATTATTCGTTACACTGCTATACTGAGTCTAACAAAACCTTGTGGAAGGTCGCGTCAGGTAACCTTTTCAATTGACCAATCAGAACACAGCTTACCAAATCGCAAAAGTTGACATTCGCACATACCTTTTGAACTTTTACCTCGAAAACGTTTTTTACCCGAAAGATTCCGAATGCTATTTTTAGTACGATCGCTTCCGAGTGATGCACATGGAGCACGCCACAACTGTGAGTAAACAGTCGCTGAAAATAGCGTTTTGTCAGTATTCAAGGATGTCAGCTTGCGGAAATATTAGCTAATGATAACCATGTCAACAGAAACCCTAAAGCGTATAATCTGCAGGTCATATATCTGTGTTTTATGCGGGCTTTCATTTGTTGTGAGATCAGTG